CAGTTTGGTTTGAAGATTTCTCTTTTTTTTTTTCTTTTTTTTTTTTTGAAGGACGCCGGGCCCGTTTCCCGGCTTATAAGAAATTTTTCTTCTGAAAAAAAAAACAAAACCCCTCCAAAAAAGAAAAACAGAAAAAACACACGGCAGTGGATTTTAGAGGGGAAAAAAAGAGGGCAGTGGAAGGAATTTGCAAGCGTCCAGTTTCCCTTCTATGCCAGGTTTAGTATTTAAAGACGAACCATCCTCCAGTCAGGCATTCCCTATCTCGGTCAGTTACCGTCATCGCGCTCGATTCTGTTCCTCTTTCTCGCTCCTTCTGAGACTCCCTCCCTCCCTCCCTCCCTCCCTCCCTTGCTGGCTCTTCCTTGGTCGTGATGGCCAGACGAAGGCTAGCGGGTCCAGCACAGCGATTCGCGCTGTTTGCCGCAGTCCAAGTGGCGGTCGTTGTTCTAGCTCTCGGCTATGGCTGCCAGATGGTGTCTGCTGGCCGCCCCGCCGCTGAACAGCGGCTGGCGTCCGCCTTGAGCTCGACCCTCGCGGCGAAGGGTCCCATTGTGGTGACCATCACTGAGGACATCGTACTCACAAAGGCACTGCCGTACATGGAAGGTAGCCATTCTATCCTTATCAAGGGAGCGTGCGGTAGTCGCAAATGCGTCGTTGACGGTGCGGGCAAGTACGGCTTTTTCTCGTCGTACGGACCGAAACTGACTATCGAGGACCTGATCGTGCGCAATTCCGGCGAGCTGGCTATCTACGCCAAGACCGACCTCAAACTGACACGTGTCGTCTTGACGGGAAACAAAGGGGGCGCGGTCTCGGTCGGCAATGGAGGGAACGCGTGGCACATCGAAGATTGCCATTTCGAGAACAACGACGGCTCCGCCCTTCTCCTCTCCACTTCCGGCAGTGGGAAAGTCGTCCGTACCACGTTCAGGTCCAACAGGGCGGCAGGGAATGGTGGAGCCGTGGTGATTGACGCACGGGCGCAGAGTTACGTCTTCGATCACGTCACCCTGGACTCGAACACGGCTGGAAAGAGTGGCGGCGGCATCTTCATCGAGGGGTTATACTCGCCGTACCCTGAGAGGATGAAGGTGCTCATCTCGGGATGCAAGTTCACGAAGAACGTGGCGAAGGGCGGCCCCGGCGGCGCGCTGGCAGTGGGCTCGTATGTGAAAGCGCGCATCTGTCGCACCTCCATCGCCGGGGCTGGGAACACAGCAAAGGGCGGGAAAGGCAACGACGTCGCCGTCGTGTCCAGCGATTTTCAAAGGCTTCCAACGGCCGTGTCGGTCTGTCCAAAGAAGGGTCTTTCCCTCTTCGTCGTCCCGGTTCCAAAAATTCCGATGGTTCAACATCCGGTCGTTCGCGAGAACTGCGCGGTCTGCTAATTGCCGCGCTAATTAGTGCATGTCCGCAAGCCGTATCACAGTATAGAGTAGAAGATTTGATGCATCAAGGATTCCATGGATTGTTTCATTTGATTTATGTTCTCGATTCTTTCTTGAGGACTTGTGCTGTGTTCTTGCCCACCGCTGCCGAGTCCGACTCTCTCTCGGTGTGGCTGAGTCGTCGACGTCGTCTTTTTCTGTCTGTCGCTCTGTGTCTTCAGCAGTCCGTTCCTCTCAGTGTGTCTGGTCTGTCTATCAGTCAGGATGGGACATCATGCTGATCGTTAGGCTTAAGTTTGCGGTTCTCACTCTGCCTGTCTCACGCAATCTGTCTTACCCCGATGTCTTCAGGGCTTGCGCGGGCAGATTACTTAATATAGTGTCCGCATCTGCCCGTGTTCTTCGACGTAGTGCATATGGACTGTGGCTAAATGTCTATCGCTTTTTGAAAAATGTTGGAGGCGGAGTGAAACTGCCTTTTTTTCGCTATGTGTTGTCGTCATCCTGGTAGAAGAGGCTTTTTTTTTTTTTTTTT